ACTTTGGGAGTAAAATGCTCTACTCAAACCCGAGCCCTCTAGGTAAGAGGCAGTAGTAACTTACCAAAACCCATTACAACTTTTGATAGTATAGCTCATAAAGTTAAACGTAAAAATGTGATATAACCTAAACTAATTTCCACCTATTTTTTAGTAAAACCCTATCATAGAAACTAATAATATTTGGAGAATGAAACCTTTTTTTCTTCCACTACAATTTCTTAAAACATATTTGAAATACATTTCTTATAGATACATCTTCGGCTTGTGATAATTTATACTATATATTTTCAAAAATGATGGAGTAATATTTTCACACTAAAAGTTAAATGCTAATCCTTGTACTCCAAATTTAAGACGGAAAAAAATACTACTAGCAAATTATGAGTCAAAAAAAAAGGAGGAAAACTCCATTGATAAAGGTGTGGTTTTCTGTCGCAAATTAAAAAAGAAAAGGGGATATTTCTGAGAAGCCCTTGTTGTTTCTTAATTTCTATATTTGCCCCGACCCAAGAAGGGTTTTTGAGGGGTTTACAATTACATCGTCAGTCGTCACTTTCACTTTTCATTGCATAGCCAGATTCATCCTAGGTTTTGAGCATTACGCGGTGAAATCAAGATGATGCGAATAACCGAAATCGCAAAATCCAAACCCTTGACCTCATCAATTGAAACCCTAAGTCACCAATTCATACAAAAATGCTTCGTCAGTCGAACAGCAAAAGGAAAAGGCAAACTCAAAGCAGGGCAGCCACTGAAAAGATCAAAAGTCTCAACGAAGAAAGGCGCAGAACTAGCAAATAAAGAACCACCGAGAAGAAAAAACGAATTCGACGAAATGGTTGAAGAATGCTTATCGTCTACTGCTCCAGTGAGATCATTGAAGCCCAAAGAACAAGCGCGAGAAGCTGAAAGAGAGAGAATGGGCTTAATTAGCAAAGCCCGAGATGAAGAGCTTAAAAAAATGAACAAGATGAAGAAGGAGTTTGCAAATCCATGGCCAATTGGGCCACCGGGTTTGGATTTGATTTCACTTGGGCTTGTTGATGTAGAGAAGCTTCCCAAGTACGAAATGACAGTTGAAGATGGAAGGAGGCTTGCGAAGGAGTACAGTAGGGTTTTAATGCGTAAGCATAGGCAGAGGCAGGCTGCTGAGACGACATTGTTGAGGTTGAAGAAAGAGGCAATTGAGGCGTTACCGGAGAATTTGAAAGCTGCTGCTTTGGTTCCTGATTTGACACCGTTCCCTGTGAATCGGTTTATGGCTACTTTAACGCCGCCTATTGAAGGTTATATTGAGAAGGTTAAAGAGGCAGCTAAGAAGAGTTCTGCAAAGGAGAAGCTTAGATGATTACGAAAGGTAAGGTGATACTTTATTGATACATTTTCGAGAATCCCTAATTTGCAATAAAGACAACATTACGAGCATGGAGTAAATTAGGCTCGACTAGAAGAAATAGGACAAGTAATCAATCAGAATGGATATAGAGGATTTCATATAGCTGATCCGAACTAGTTTGAGATTGAATCATAGTTGTGTTTGATTTTGATCTTATTTTGCCTCTCTTTGAGTTTGTACCCTGGTGTCTGATTTATTTGTGTGATGGTATGATACTATGATACAAAGATGCTTTATGAACTAAGACTTAAAAGGAAAAATGCTAACTTTGGTAGTAAGAATTATGTACTTTTTAACTTATCAAAAAAAGAAATATATACTATTTGATTGTTGTTTCTTACCTTAAGAAATTATTAGGACATTGTCTCCTGCAGTTTATGATCATCTAGGCTCTAGTTCCTTAAACGCAAAGGTGTTATATCTCTGTTGATATTGTCAATTGAGAGACCTCTTAGTGTCTTACAGAGTATTCGAAGAAATGCATACTATCTGTTCAAGGACACAACACACCTGGGATTATCCTTTCCTCTTTACTTTTCTTTTTATCCTCAAACACTTT